TATATATTAGAGTATAAGTAAAAAATTGTATTAGTATTTTCATACAAAGTTATTAACAGACAATAACATTATATTACTTGTAGTAAAATTATTCTTGTGTAGCTTTTTTCTGTTAAAACAAAAAAATATCACTCTATATATAGCTTTTTTTTTAAAAAAAAAAGCTTTTTAACTTTTTTTTTAAAAAAATTTTTTTAAAAAAAACTTTTTTTTAAAAAAACTTTTTTAAAACAAACTTTAAAAAATAAACTTTTTAAAAATAAACATTTTTTAAAAATAAACTTTTTTTAAAAAATACTTTTTTAAAAAACCTTTTTAAAAAATCATCACTTTTAAAAATGTCAGCTATCAGAACTAGTAGAGTACTCTCTCTTGGTACCAAGCATAAACGTGCGGCAATACCAGGCTCAAAAAAACATAAAATTTGTCAAAAACTTTTAGAACCTAACCCCCAAACAAAAAGAATTGGCACTTGAATATAACATATTTAAGTAGGCAGTTTCAGATATTTGGCAAGATTAAAATAAGTGGCTCCAACTTGAGGTTAATAGTTATGATACACAATTAAAAAAAGAATGTCCATCAGAGTTTCTATTGGTTGAAGAGGTTTTAGAAAGATGGTTACAATATGCATTCGTAAGACAAATGACATTAACAGATAAGGTTCTTTTAAAAAAAGCAAAAAGCATTGCTTTTAATATTGAAGAACAAAATTTTTATTGTTTACATAGGTGGTTAGTACGATTCAAGGCCTGGCATAGAATAAAAGCATATGCAAGGGTTGGTGAAAGTGGTAGTACACCACCAGAAACTGAAATTAATGCAGAATGTGAAAGATTGTATGCTATTATTGTACAATATCCACTAGATAATGTTTGGAATGCAAACGAAACAGATATTTTTTGGAAACAGAAGCCAAGAAGAACTCTTGCCACCAGTTCACAAAAAGGCCATAAACTCTCTAAAAAATGTGTTATATGTCTTGTTGTTTGCAATGCAACAGGTAATCAAAAATTAAAACTAGCATTTATTCATAAATATAAAACACTCTGTTCGCTCTGTAATATCAATTATAATAGACTTCTAGTTTCTTATTTTTGGAATAAAACATGTTGGATGCAGGTATGAAGTAATATTTAATAAGAATTTCTAATTGTATCTAGTAATAATTTTACTTTAATATAATTCTACTGAGTATGATTAGAAAATTTTTAATTATACCCAGTAGGTTTGTACTAATTAGAGTAAGATTATAGTATATAGTAGCTAAAGATATTTAATTTTTTAAAAATGCCAATCAATAAATTATAGTATATAGAGATACATATAAACTTTAAAGTGTAATAACCCTTAAAATTAAATAAAAGTCTATTCTAATAGAAATGTAACTTAGATAAAAAGCAACAAATTTATAAGAGATTTTTTCTAAAATATTTTGTTCTATAATTATAGCTTTATAATACTTTTTATATTTTATATATAAATATTAGATATCTTTGCTGTCCCATATTATACAATTAAAAAAAAGTAAAATAACATATACTGAGTTAATAACTAAATTCAAATTAATTTTTTATATACATAAATTTTAATTTGGACAAGAATTTTAAAGGATTGGAATACAAGGTTTAGTAAATATGACAAGAATATTCTTCTTATTATTGATAGTGTGCCAGTACATCAGCTTGAAGAAAATATTAAACTTAAGCATATTCGTATTGAATTTTTGCTAGCTAATGCCACTACCTATATTTAATCTTGTGATCAAGGAATAATTCATTCATTTAAATGCTTTTATAAAAAAAGTTTTATCAATAATAGGATTGAGGCATATAATTCTATTCGTGATAAACTAAATAAAAGTCTATCAGCTTTTACAATTTGTGATGCCATGTATCTTGCAGCTGATGCCTGGCAAAATGTAACATCTAATACTATTGTAAACTATTGGAAGAAGGCTGGCATTCATCCTATTAATAATGATGATAATATTTTATCTATAGATTTTTAAAGTATTGAAAATGAACAGCTTGATGAGTTAAATAATTTGATTGCAGAACTCCCAATTGATAATTTGTTTAATGCTAATGAGTTTATACATTTGGATGATATTTTACAAATTGAAGAAATGCTAGATAATATGACTCTAATTGAACAAATTCATCATGAACATAATGGTGATGATACTCAATCTGATGATGAAGATGAACCATTGTGTAAAATTTCTTTACAAGAAGGAACTTGTCTTGCTAAAAGTTTGGTGAAATTTTTGTTGCAACAAAATGATGAATTTGGTGTTTCAGCTGAAGAATTAGGAATAGTTAGGTATATAAGTGAAATTATTAAAAGCAAAGAGATGAATACAAGACATCAGATGTCAATAATACAATTTTTCAATAAATAAATTTTTACTAATATGATTTTATTTTTATATTTTTATAAAATATCATTTTAAAATACTTATTTATACAATTGTATTAAAAGCCAAATATAGTGTTATAGAACAGTTTATTATTTTATTAGTTATTATTCCGATATTGTATCTTATTATTTATTTTATTATTAT